TTTTTTTGATCCCCTTTAATTTTTGTTGATTGGAATCCCACCCCACCCCCCGGGTAGTTCAGTGCTCTGCTGCTTGCTTGCTCATGCTTCCTAACAATTTTAGCCTTCAACTGATTTTTCTTTTTTCTTTTTCTCTTTTTACTGGTATTTGTTTTTTATACTCATTCACTAAACAGGGAATTCCTCAAGCTGTACTTCCCCCATTACCAAAGAGGCCTGCTCTTGAAAAAACCAACGGTGCCACCGCAGTCTTTAACACTGGTATTTTCCAATACCAACAGGCTCTAGCCAACATGCAGTTGCAACAACATACGGCATTTCTCCCACCAGGTAAGGGGTCTGAGCTTATTCATGAACGAATCTGGGGAGCCGCAGATAGATACGCTGGTAGAGCAGATAAGCCAGGCCCCCAGTTTGCCGTTAGCCATAGATAGTTGGAAGGTAAGGTGGTCAGCAGTAGCGGATGAACTGAGGTATCTCATGTGGTTCTCCTTAAAAACTAAGAATCTTAGTGTAATGAGAAATGGATCAAAGGTCATTGTGGTATTTTATAGATTTATTTTGGTGTGTGTAATTCGGAATTGAAATATAGTTCTCTTTTTTTTCTCTTTCCTCAACACTGTTTTATGTCTGTCAAGCTATTTTATGACACTCTTCTGCTGTAAGACCCCTTTGCCTTCATGATTCCAGAGTAAATTTTAATTCTATGAAATGACACTTCCAGTTTTGATTTTTATTTTTCAGCCTTTTTGTTTTTGAGGTGGAGAATAAAAAAACAAACAAACAAAAAAAACCAAAAGCTGACTCTGTGTTCCAGAGCACTTAAAAAGTGTGCCAATCAGTACATTGCTTAAAATCATTATTTTCTCATGAGCTAATAGAAGTACAAGTTTACATCTACTATTGAGTTATACATTTGTCGTTTCAGTGGATTTCAACTTAGTCACATAAACATACTGTAGAACTATCTGCACGGGTATAAAATTTAGAAACATTAATCAGTCATTTAATTACCTGAAAATTTATTGTTTTTATGCACCCTTCATTGACTTCAGGAAATCCATGTTAAAATTCATATAGTCTGGAATTCAACTAACCAGACTCTAATCCTATTTTCCCCTTTACCTCTTAACCTTTCTAAGATAATTACCATGGGTTCAGAGATTTATTTAATAAAATAATTTTATCACTAATTAAATTAATTAATGATGAGGTATGTATGTCAGAGGTCCAGCGCCATTAGTATATTATGCTATATTGACAGTACTTAAATGCGTTAGGTTCGTAATGCCACGAGAGAATGTGAGAATTTATTTTTGAATAGCGAACAAAAGAATAAGTTATATTCACATTAGTTTTTACTGCCAAGCACAACTTCTATACAGTGCATCTCTGAAAGCTGGCCATCCGTATGTAGAATATGTAACAAGATTCAGTGAACTGGAGTATGTGGAATATTACATGACTTACAATGCATACGCCTTAGGCACCATGGATAAAGTAATTGTACTTACAAAATAGTATCTGTGCATTTGCAGTTTGTCCATTTTAGAATACAAATTACATCATTTTGATCTGTAGCATATTTATTGCATTCTGAGGGGCAAATCACATTTCTCTTACACTTTATAAGGTTGAAACTTTTTTCTCAACACATACAGGTTTTCAGAGATTTCCAGAATGTAATCTTTTTGCTTTTATATAAATTGCCATGCCCCTAGATTCATGCCTTCTTCAGCAAATATATCAAGTTTTCTATAGTCAGATCACTAAACAAAGTTTTAATAGATTGTGGGTAACTACCATAGTCTCTTTGAAGAAACCAAAGATTATTTTTGTCAGCTTATTTCATTCAGTAAAACAGTGTCATTAGAAGTGAATTTCATGGGGCTCCTGGGTGGCGCAGTCGGTTAAGCGTCCAACTTCAGCCAGGTCACGATCTCACGGTCCGTGAGTTCGAGCCCCGCGTCGGGCTCTGGGCTGATGGCTCGGAGCCTGGAGCCTGTTTCCGATTCTGTGTCTCCCTCTCTCTCTGCCCCTCCCCCGTTCATGCTCTGTCTCTCTCTGTCCCAAAAATAAACGTTGAAAAAAAAAAATTAAAAAAAAAAAAAAAAAAAGAAGTGAATTTCATTATTTAAAATCTAAAAATAAAAACATCTAACTCTCTCCATATATTATTTAGGGAAACCTAACAGTTCAGTCTTATTAAATGGGATTTACGTTAGTTTCTCCAACAATATTCAGATGACTAAGGACGTTTCTAAATAAACATAACCATTAATTGCATGATATTTCTGACAGTAATCTCTCCCTAGAAAGGCTTTTAGTCTGTGGATAAGACAGAGCAAAAGATGCTAGGTAAGGATCAAGTGTGGGAAAAACAAACACATTTGCAATTCAAAATCATACTTCTCCCTTCTAGAAACGAAGTGTTCTTAATGTAAATAAAATGTGTCACAGTATATTGAAATGTGCTAAAAATGTTAAGAAATATTTGCGTTTTTATGATGAATTTTGCATCGGAGATAGTCTATATTCTATTCTTGATATTTCTAATCAATATGATATGAAATTATTACAATAATATAAAATTACATTTATCTGTAAGCCACTTTTAAAGGGCTTAACCTTTATGAGTCACATAATCAGAAGTAGATAATACCTTCATCATTCTTTTAAAATATTGTCATTTGTCATATGTGCCTGTGTCCAGAAATTTGGCTCTGTGACATTAAAAGGTTAAAATGGATAGCCCATCTTTACTTCTGCCAAACCACTTTGTCAGACAGCCAGAGAAGAAAGAAATCTGATGCAAAGAATGTAAACTAAAATGCCTTAGGGGCCAGGAAGGATATATAAACAAATGGAGCAAGAAATAAATTAGGAGCTGTGAGGTCTGGAAGGCACTGGGGAGCACAGGCCCATCTAAAGAGGATGGTGAGTGTTTGGACTTAGGCTTCTATTGCCTCAGAGAAATATCTGCCTGGCATGTTGTACCTGTTGTAAACTGCACATCCTTTGTGGCTCCATTTACATTATAGGGTAGTTGTGTCTCTGCTTCCCGTGGTTAGTTGTGCAGACCTGCACAATCTAATGTAATGGCCCTGATGTCCAGTATTGCAGGTCTTTTTGATTTTTTCCCAGATATTTACCTCATTTGGATGGTTGCATATGAAATTTCTCTATTTAAAAAAAAAAAAAATTACAGCTAATTCAATTTTTTAAATGCCCTTTGAGAACTACAGGAAATCTATCCTACCACACATCTGTGTAATCTCATATATAATACCTGGGAAAAAGGAAGTTCATTTTCCAAAGACTGTGTTATTCTGCAGATGACTTATTTGATTAGAGCCTCCCATCTGCCCATAATATAATGATTTGGAAGGTATATTCTGAAGGCTCTTTTGGAACTCAAAAGAAAATAGAAGTTATTTATTTTTTGCAACTTAGAGTTTTAGAGCTCTGTAGTCTCTTGCTTCAGTAATAACTTAAGGGGTATGTGGGTCTGTTACATTGAAGTTGCAGTGAAGCATAGTTAAGTCATTTGAGGAGGTAACTATGTATATAGACTGGGCTGCTGGCAAAAGATCAAGGTTCAGTGGCAAGCCAGGTAACTAGCTAAAACCAATTATATATATAACTTTTAATAACAAAATTAGGCTTATGTGGCATCCACCCGTCTATCTGTGCATCCATCCAATCATTTATCCATCTGTCCTTCCAACCACCTATCTCTTCTTCCCTCTTCCTTCCCTTCCTTCTTTTCCTTCCTCTGTCCTTCCCAGTCTTCTCTCCATCCGTCTACCTATCTACCCATTCATTGATCCCTCCATCCACCTGTCTCCCCATCCATCCATCTATCCACCCATCCACCCATGTCCATCCATTCATTGAATCAACACACATCTATTGTATGCCACATGGTATGCCAGTATTCATATTGGAGATTGCAAATTTATGACCCAAGGGTTAAATCTAGAATCCAGAAGTGTCTAAGAATGTTTAAATAAAATCAGAATGTAAATCCTTTACAAGGTGTGCATTCTGTCCAATCCAAGCCCCACAGCTCCCTAATGGTTTCAGGCCCAGTTGTTTCACACATTGTGTTCAAAACAGCCGCCTTTATTCAATATTTGCTCTGTGCCATACTGCACTGGATACTTTATATACATTATCTCATATTTTCTCACAACGACCCCAAAAGGTTGGCATTAATAGTCCCATTTTACCAATGAGTAATTTGGGGCCTAGTCAGGTCCAATGATTTGCTCCAAGTTGCATGGCTTGTATGTAAGGTTTAGACAGAACTTGAAATTAGGTCAGGTGGGTTTGACTCAGTCTCTCAAAATCTGTGAGCTCTTTGTATCAGGTCCTTAAAAATGATTTGGCCCAAAAAATGAACTAGGCCTTACCAATACCCTGACCCCATGATTGGTGCTTTTATACCCTCCATCTCGTTTAAAAATAAATACAATTACTGGAATAAATTCATATCCAAGCTTCTTTTTTAAATTTTAGAGATATACTACTATTTAAAAAATCTTCGCCCTTTAAAACTCAATTAATTATTCGTACAGTTTATGTATAATCTAGGGTCTACTTACATTGTAGGTATCGAGTTCACCCTTGACATTGGAGTAAGAAGTACCACTTTTATTTACATCACTTTATTTTCTTGAATTCAAATGAAGTCCAACTCCAAACTCTAATCTCACTGGGAGATTAGGCTCCCTTACTGGGGTCTAATTACCGGGATTCAGGACCCCCTTCTCACATCTTCTCTTCCCTCCCATCCCCCCCCCCCAAGGTGAGGGCCTGTGCCATCCAGTAGGGTAGATAAGATGCCCATTCTCCATTCTTCAGTCAGCACTGGTCACTGCTGGTATGATCATGGCCCATGCTTACAAGGTCTCAGCAAGCTACACACTCCAGGGTTCCTGTGACTGCCTCGGGTCCAGGCGTGCTTGCCTGAGCTCCTTAGCCTCATAAGCAGCATACGCTCCCTTGGCAGCCTGTGCCCATGGAGCTATGGTGGAAGAATAGACTACATACCCAACTACTCACGGACCCTGCAGACTCCCTGCCTCTTTCCTCTCCCTTCTCCCTCACCATTTTTGCCTGCTTTCTACCCTCAGAAGCACACCTCTCTTCCCTCTTCCTAGCATATTGCCCTCAGTGTGGGCTGATGGTTTTTTTAAAAACCTAAAAATAAGTTTGCTTTAAGCAACTTTGGCTTTGGCTTGTGTTGCAACTTACCAGACATAAAGAAACAGAAGGCCAGGAAATTTTCCTGGAGGGGGAGGAGTAAGAAGGGAGGTGGCAAGGGGATGGGGGTGTTTTTACCGAAAAAAAAAACAAAAACAAAAATTCCCAGCTTGTCACTTTTATTATAATTAATGAAATTAATGCAGTTTACCTTCATCTTAGCATAGGATTATAAATCAGGCTTGGAAGTTTAAATCCAGATCCACCACAAGTTATAATCTCTGTATCCCTTTTATTTTTCACCTATAAAATGTAGATAATGTGATTATTTCATAAGGTTACATTTAAATGAGTTTTAAACATAGTTTCATAAAACATTCTCTTAAAGCACTATCATAGGCAGGTCTAAGCGTTTAGGATAAAGCCTGGAATCTAGTAGGCACTAGGTTTTATTTGTCATTTCTTAAATTCAGTAGTGCAATGGAATAGAATTCAAAACATCAGATAGAAATAAACTGAAGCTGTTGCTGTTTCAGATATCAGTTTTGAAAATAATTTCAATTGATTGTGAACTTTTAGTCCCAAGTGATACAAATTTTAGAAGATCTTAAATCAGCTTAATACTGCTAATCAGTAGGCTTGAATTACCACATCCAAGTTCAGACCTCCAACCAAATATCCATTATCACTTTCTCTCTCTTCTACTTCTTGCCCTTCTCCTTGAAGTAGTTTTAACTGTGCATACAATGCATTTGCAAATTACCTTCCTACTTGTTTTTCCTGCATCTTCAAATAGGAATGCATTCCTCACAAACACTTCATTCTGCTATGCAAATATCTTCATAGGGGAAATTTGAAATTGACAAATGCATTCACTGAAACATTTCCTTGTGTTGAAAATTAAGGAAAAAAATTTCAATTGGCTATTTGTGCATCATTATTAGTAAATCAACCCATTGTTGTAAAGATGGATATTATGGTCATTTCAAAGTGATTTTTGGTCTCGGTAAGTGGGTCCTACAGCATAATGTCTTTGTTTTTGTGAATTATTGCACCTGGCTAGTATTTTCATTGCTGCCTTATGTTTATTTGCTGCAAATCCCTCTCAAAACTGTGTGCACTGGTTATAATGGTAATGAGGAAGATAATTCAAACTAAAATTCCAATCATAGAAGCTTTAGGCTTTTAGACAGATAGGATGGTTAATTCATTTTCCGCATGTGCAGGCTAAATTATGTATGGGATGAAATATAATAGGCAAATTACAGCATAATAATGAATGGTAAATTGAAAACCTACTACCCATACAGTATTTAAACCGGCTTTCCTATTCCTTGAATACCACATTATTGCTTTTCCTTCATCTTTTCATCCTCTCTTTCCCAGTCAGTCCTCTTGCCCCACCTTGAGAGGATAACGATTTCACAGGATCTAGACCCAGGATTAAATTTCGCTTGCTCTACTGTCTCACATTAACGTCTTTGTTATTAGTGGTCTGTTTTTGTTCTTCTCTTTCCCAAGTCTGACTCTGTAGTAGTTGCAAATGGTAGAGATCTTCAAGCATCTTAACAAATGACTGTCAGGGTAATATTATGCCACCTGGGCGGATGCCTCCCTAGCTCCATTACCAAGTTTAATCACTGATCATTGTGCCCACAGTCTAATTGTGATAACAGACTAATTGCAGCTGTTCCAGGGACGCCAGTTCAGTAATCCTTGTTTCTCAATGGCAGCTTTGTTTTGTAGGGCCATCTCTGACAAGACTCAATTGGCAGATATTTGTCTAACAAATGTTCATCCCAGATGCTGCTAGTGTTTAAATAGGATGTGCCAAGATTTAGATAGAAATATAAAATCATTTGATATTTTAAAACCTAGAAATCTAAAATAATCTCATAGAAAGAACAGTAGTTCTTTATGTGGGAAAGTGCCCTGTACTCGGTAAAAAGAAAAAAACATAAAATTGTATGTTGCAATGTTTATATGTAAAAGAGAACAGGTACTACATACATAATATTTTAGCATCATGGTTGAACATTGAAAACATCAATGCCAACACCCCATGTGTAATATATACATACATATATATATATAATTAACTTTTTTTTCTATGTGAAATATTTGAGAGCATTTGCTATTCCAAGAAGTCCTGAAGGTCTAAACCAGCAGTGAAAACCAGTCTGTTTCCCCAGATCCCTGTTAATTAAACCAATTCAGGACTTAAAAGTATATCCTCTCTAAATGTTTGCCTACATTTAAATTCCAAACAAAGGCCATGCAGAAGTTTCACTTTCTCTTTATGCATAATTTATTTCTTGGTATCCTTCCAAATAAAATTCCTGTATGGATGGATGATCACAACCCCTTCCATGTCTGTGTGGTTGCTGCTACAGTGAACAGAGAAATAAAAACCAAGGGAATGAAAATGAATGTTTTGGTTTTATTACATTGTTAAGCCAGTTTTGTGCATTGGATTACCTACCATTTTAATAATAAGTAATTTCTCTAATTATTTAACATGTGCTCAATATAAGGAAAATGTTAATACATTCATATGTTAAAGTCAGAAATAGCAAAGCCGCCAGATGGCTAGTAACCAGATTAAAACAAAACAAATTACAATATTATTTTTAAAAGAATTAGGCGAGTTTAAACTTTTCCCAAAATACTTTTACTTATAGGCAGCAATCAGGAGAAACAAAGTGTACCAGCACACAGTTAAACTGGCTTTTATTCTTCACTTGAGACTAGTTCTAATTGATCACTGTGCTATTGTATGATTTGATTGTGCTGACAGTTACATGCCACTGTTCCCATAATAACAATTTTTCTTCTTTGTTCAAATGAATTTCCTAATTACACGTGTGATGGGATGTTTTAATTCTTTTCCCTTTTCAAATCCACCTTCCTGTTGCAATGCATGATGGGCAGGCTCAATATTGTGCATGACACCCGCTACAAGTGTTGGTAGGTGCCAGCTTTGTTTCTTGATTATCTTAAACCTATGGTGCACCTCACAGCCCCTCAAAATCCACTGCTAAGTTTAACTTGTATCTATTGGGCAAGTCCATTTCCCTTTTACTAACACCTGTCAATTAAATGCCATTTTCTATTTAATTGACATGGACTCACATAAATGTTTTCTTTACACACAAGTTTCCTTTAGTCACCTTTGGTGGATTTTGATTGGACTATGAGTTCTGGTGTGTAAAAAAAAAAAAAA